TTCTCTTCTCACCCTTAGAATCTTTTCATTGTTAAATTTTTGAACAACAAAATTGCCACTTGAATATACTATATAAGTGTAAATAGTGTGGGAATCCAAGTTTGAACATTGAAACTGGGTCTGTATGGACAATATATACGTAAAACTTCATTTCTGCCTGTATCTTAAGTTTGTTCTTAGATAACTTACTCTCAACAGGATTTATGTCGAATCAATTTTTGAATTAAATAGAACTAAGAGTTTAACATTCTACCAATAGATTACATAATTGTTAGCAGTCATTTTATAGCTTTCCCGACTATGTTGGGAATTTTTTAAGACCCTTTTACTGTAGCAACATAAATTTTAGCATTAAGCAATACATGAATATTTAAAGAGAATAAATGTAATAGTTGGATTGCTTGTTGAATTTGTTTCTCAATGTTGGTTAGATGTGAGTGACCAAGAGGGGGGGAGAGAAGACTTGTGGTTGGAGATGTGAATAATGGGTTCTTTTTTGTTTGAGAGAGGGGTAAAATCTAGGGTAAGAAATCAATCACCTACTAAATTTGGACTGACAATGACAAATGCTTCCACCACTAGCTCCCAGCTTGCACCTAAACGGAAGTTATTCTCTTTTGAGAGTTGAAACTGTTCATAAATTATTGCTTGCAATTCAAAATCCTTACCCACCCCTCTTTGCAACAATAATAGGGCTCTAATTTATGACAATTGCATCACCTGCCCTTGTACTCTTGCCCAAATTTGTTTTCTCCCTTTGCATCCATTTCTGCCAAAGTTTTGGTGTTTAATTTTATGGTGTTTTGTAGTTTATTCGGCTTGTTTATCATTTTTTTAAATATAATTGTAATATAATATATTTGTTCAATAATATTATATTGGATGGTAATTGTTACTTGTATATATGTAATCTCGCCAAAAAAATTTTGTGATCAATGATTTAATTATTCAATTTTTCAAATCAAGATAAAATGTGTTTATACTTTTCATTCATGGACATATCCCTTTTGGGATCAAAGTTTTTTTTTTTTTTTTAATATTCATTAAGAAGTGATGTTATGTCTTCGAACTAATTAAATTAAATTTTATATTTTCTTGGGAAAATGAATTCACAAAAAAAAATGAATTTAAGTTTTGATTTCTTGTACAATAAACATGAATGTAGAACGTAAAAAATAAATTTACCAAGATTATTTCACTTTTTAATCTGGGTATTTCAAATCCCATAAAAGAGATTTGAATTCTATAGATTTTAAAATCTAAATCCTTCTTTATAAATCACGTTGAATACCAAAAAGAATTAAATAAAAAAGAGTTGCCAATAGCAACAAAGTTTTGTCCACATTGAATCGTATCCGAAAGGTAAGTTTCTTGAAATTCTCATTTCTCCTGCTAACATCCATTTTGTTTTTCAAATGGTACGTTGATATTAGTTTGCACGCTTGTTCCTGTTTCACCTTTGGTTTCCTATTTCATATTGGCAAAAACATTATTCCTGTTTCACCTTACAAATAAAAAAAATTTGACCTTGAAACAGTAAAAGGAAAAAAAAATCTTGCAAGTTAGTTAACTAAGAACCTTTTTTTTTGTTTTTGGGAAAGGTAAATTTTATTAAAACATTTGAGACATCAAGTTACAGCCACGCTAACAGTCAATGTCTTGGTTCACAGCCATCCTAACTAGAGAATCCACAAAGCGATTTACATGTCTAGGCGCATGAACAAACGAAATATTTTTAACAACAATTAGAAGATTACAGAGGCAATTGTTAGAAACCAAAGAAATAGCAAGTTAAAACTTAAAATTTAATTCAATTAATTCATATAATTATTTCTAAAATATAATGTCCAATAGCTTTGTGATTCAAATTTCGGTATTTACAATATCTTTCTTCTTTTGCATGCTATGATTTGTTCTGTTAAGAGAAAAAAAAAAAAAGCTGCAAGCATTTTCATTATTAAACAGGTGGAGTTTCTTAAAAAAGCAAGCAATTGGTACGAGAAAGAGGCTATAATCAGTGGTTGGTTACTCAGCTAATTAATTAAGTTCAAATGGTTAATTATAAAATGGTCTAGTTTTAAAACAATTAAAGCTATGTTCGATTAATACTTTTATTTTTTTCTTCTTACTATCATATTTTTTTTTTTACTTTTCATTTTATACTAAAAATAATAAAAATGGTAAAAATACCAACCAAACAAAGAATTTAATTTAAGAATAGCTAATTACAAATTGGGGTTGGATAGGAAGTTGGAGTTGAATTATCCCAAGCTTCATGCGACAATGACGAAGTGTTTTTAAAATTGTGCTTGAATGCATTTTTTTTATTATATATGTTTAGTACTTCTTGCATTTCATATTGTTTGTTTGTCTTTGACTTTCACTTTTTTTTTTCAACAGATAAAGAGATTAATTGATGAATTTAAAGCTATGCAATGAAAAGCAAGTTTCTCTTATTTTATAAACCACATTTTAAATTTTTTTTAATAAAAAGTCAGTAACTAAACACTTGATATTAATAATAATAATTAGTTTCGCAATGCAAAAAATCCGTATTACTAAATTATTATTATTTTCACTTTTAGGTGATATTTGTTGTTTAATATGGGTTTGAACTGAAATTTTGGATTTTCTCTTTGATATTGCCACTAGCTTCATAACTTGATAGTTGTTTTAATAAATTTTGACTTAACAAAAAAATACAAAAAATCTGTGTCGAAATCAGCTATTAAGTTCATGTTTCCTAAATGACGATTGAGCTGGTTCCCATTCCCTCTAGTTTGCTCAGGCAAATTTGTCTACGAATTATGGTGATTGTGTTAACCTAGCCTAAGAATGGTAGTGTTACTTTCTTCTCACTTTTCACCTTTTAAGACTGTGATTAGAAAAAGCTAGATATCTTTGTGAAATGACACCCAGGCGTGCAACTTAAAAATATTCTTTGTCCCTATGGCTAACCTAAGCACCCCTTTTCTTCCCACGGTTTTGTCACAAATGAAAGCACATTGATTATGGTTATAGGGTTATCATAATTAGCATAATAATTTAAGTAAGATCTAGCACACTAATCAAAATTTGAATCCTAATTATTAAAATAAAAAATTTAATACTTTATTAATAAATTACGCATTTATACAATGAATTTTGCCGACTGAATATTTTAAAGATAAAAAATTCCCAGGGCCCAAATTTTCCCGCATAAGCCATTAGCCAGCTTTGATCCCCACATCCTGAGGTTTGTACAATGAATTTTTGGGCTACAACCACCGGCCTACATATGTACAAGAAATTCTACCTTTTTGGGCCCCTAGCAAGAAATTAAGGGAACACTTAACCAACAATTTTGTCGTTATTAGTCTTCTTTTCCACTTCAAAATTTTCTGTGTTCTTGGTTTTGTAGTCCAACTCGATTGATGGCCAGACTTTCGTTTCCAGATCTATATAATCTGATGCTAAATAAATAATTATAAAATATAAGAAGATTGCATAAAAAAAAATGACACGTCTTTTATTATAAAAGAATTCCCAAAAGGGTGTGTTGGGAAACATATTTGGGATTGAGTAATTTGTTTGAAAATCAAGTTGTGTTCAGCCAATAAACCCAGCAAAATTAACCATTGCAAAGCAACAGCACCATGCACGACATGACTTGTCCTATTAACATCTAAATCCCTGCAATATTCAACCCAATAACCCAAAATATCCCCTATGTACCAATTAATTGTTGGAAAATTGGATTTCAATTTTTCAAATGCCATAATTACAAATGCTTTGGGGATGGTTTTTATTTATTGGTATGATGAGGGAGGGCCAAAATGCTGTGGAAATTAAGGACAGTGACCCATTTTCCTTAGTCATCAGCTTAATCATTGTCTTTGTGATTTAGGGTCATAATGGACATCCAATTGTTTTTTTAGAAGCATTAGTTGGTTCCAAAAAGGCCAATTGGGTGTGTAGCCATTGACATTTTCATGCGACACCATCATCTAAAGGATTGCCTAGTTTCAATTAGTGAACATTCTCTCAGCAAATATTTTGTTTTACAAAAAGTAACAATGGTTTTAATCTTAGCCACATATATAAATTAATGGTTAAAAATGTTGAGTCTTGGCCATATGCATGAATCAATTACATATTTGCATGATGAAAAGTGTCAACATTGGCACCGATCTTGTGCTATATTGATAAAATGTTAAATTATTAATCTCAATGATTAAAATTTAATTTTTAATAATTTCAAATATAAAATATCAATATTTGAAAATAGATGATATTTGAAATAAAGTTGTATTAAATGATTTGAGATCCAAAGATTTGCATAATTAAAAAGAATGATATTATAATTAATTCTTAAATTACAATGAAATATTCGATATGACACTCGAATTTTAAAAATTTTAAAAGATTTTAAAACTATAAATCTATTAATCGATTTGATACTTAAAAAATTGTTTGTCTGATATATATCATTATTTAAAACTAACCACGTTAGAAATAAATATTACATTAATTAATAAGTTCATAATTCAGATACTATATTAAAAATTTTTAAATTTAAATACCACATTAAATATTTTAATATAATTCAAAGATCATTTATATCATTAACCCTTTAAAAATTCAAATGGTGGAATAACCATCCCACCGGGAATATGAATAATCAAATGGGGGAATATGAATAATCAAATGGTGGAATACGGCTGGAATGGAATGGCTATTCCACCCCAAACAAACATGTTTTAAAGGGAAAAGAATTCAATAACCAATTTTTAAGCTTAAAACCAATTATGCCCATGTAGTAGAATTTACATCAAATTAGAAGATGACATGCTGAAACTCAGCACATTTATCGGTTATTGCATCAAAATTCAAGGATTAGGTTTCCACCCTGTTAATCGAAAATTGGCAAAACTACTCCACTGGATAAGAAAAAATGGAAAAACAATTGGAGAAGGAACACAAAAGCAACAACTTGTCTCACATAAACATTGGGTACGATATCAAGTCACTGAACGGTTTATAGCAACTGACATTACAATGACATGAGCTTAAACCAGAACAGGTTCATTATATTCTCTTCTTATAACTGTCATCTGATATCCAGATATAAATTCTACCTTTACCTAAATTTTCATTTCCATAGAATATTGAAGAGCTTCGGAAGGAACATGTATTATCAGATGCTTCTAAGCAGCAGAGTGAATGCTTTGCATGATAATCGTCATACAACTGAGTGAAGGTTATGCTACTAGAAACGGTATCACACAGACTGTAAGTTATTGAGTTGCAAAGCTTCCTGTAGGCATGTAACAGCACCGTTGTAGTTTAAGAAGCCCATGAACCAAAATTCATGACTATCGACAGAGATAACTTGGATGTACTTTTCCGAGGGACTGACTCGGCTTGTTGAAGGATTAACTGCTTTAAGTTGATGCAATGGGATAACTACCTATTTAAACAGACAGAATAATGTCAAGAATCATAACTCAGTAAGTTCTAAACCATAAACCGGTACCCTAATATTTTCACGTACAAAGTTATTGATGTGATGTATCTTTTCAACATCATAGAGTGAAGTGGAAATAGCAACTCACTACTACCAATCTTTTGTAAATGCAAGCATGTAAGGCTAATGCAACCATACCTTATAGTAGCTCCATTCAGTCTGGCTACCATTTTTATAGGAAAGAGGACTGTCACTGCAATATGCAAGCTTTGCTGTAGATACATATAAAACTCCCATGACAGGACCTGCTGATGTGGATAAGTAACATGCGAATGAATTTTGGAGTTGCTCTTCAGGAACTGTTTCAAAAGTTTGTCTAAAAATCTTCTCATAGCCACCTTCTGCTAAAACCTTTGTTCCCTGAGCAATTCTTCCCATGGCAGCCTCAGCAAAACTCGGGCTTGTTTTTACTGATTTAAGGAAAGAGAAAAAGTATTTTTGTAATTTTATGTATGTGAAACTGCTTGAGAAGCAAGAGGGAGGGGGCAGGGGATGAGAGCTGGGTTCACGTATAAAAATCAGAAACAGCATATTATTCTAATTAATATATGCAAACATTATTTTCCATATTTCTTCCTTGTATAAAATTGAAGCACAAAAATACTCTTCTTATGCTCAAATAAAAGCAACAGTAGCAATTGTAAAGGAAACTGCCATACAAAGAAGACCAATAGAAAAGGGTCCAGAACATGACAAAGAATACATAAGATCATTATTTTTATGGTCATTTTATGCATGACCAAGTTGAGGTATTGTAATGTACCTAAAAAATGTTAAGGTAATGTTGCAAAAGAGAAGTTAGAGATAGCCATAAGTGCAAAAGGAATACATAAATTTGGGTTACAGACTGCTCAGGTAACATGTACGCAGAAAGCACAAATGAGAGGATGCACACTTACATTATGGTGGTACATACTCAAAGAAAGTGATAGTGATGGGGGAGAATTCTAAGGTTAGAGAAATAAAGGCGAAGAAAGAGTATACAAGCAAAAGGAGACCTAAAAGTCCTTAAAAGATGAGAGTAATGTTTATGGGATATTTTTAGTGCAAGAGTTGTCATAAAAAAAAATGAGACATCTCAACAATCAAAATAGCAAAAATATGGTTTGGATGGTAATAATTCTATTTGTTGCACAGAAACAAGAATGTATCATGCGTCATATTTAACATATGGGTAAGTTTTGAGCATCCCTATGATGAGATGATTACACGTGATTTTTAGCATCCTTAGTGAGGCGGTAAATAAGGAACAATGGAACATATTGCTTTTTCAAGTATTTTATCAGCTTGAGTCCTTTGTTTGAATAAATGAATGTGCATATCTCATTTCTTAAGCATGATTTATAAGATCTGAACATGCCCTTTGAGGAAACCAGGTATCATAACCTTATTTCTGGAAAAATCAAGCCCAATCATCCATCATATTCTATTCTTTTCCAAGTAAAAAATTACATCACATATGTTAACTCCAACCAACATTTCATTAATCAATACTGCATTTCCTTAAGAACTACCATAAAACATGTTAAAACTACTAAATCACAATTATCTAAAATCGTCCAACCATTTCCAAAATGAAACAAACTGCATCCCAAATATCCTACATCGCTCTCAGAACAAACGAGCAATACAAAACACCAAACCACCAACAGAAGCAATGTGTACCTGAGCCTTAACCAAATTCGAAATATTAATTGGTAATTCAATATCTGAGATTTCAATTTTCAGTAACCCAATATCCATAGCAACCATCAAAAGAACAAAAAGAACCATAGTTTTATTTAATCACAAATTAAAACAAATCAAATTACCGAGCACTCAATATCAATTCCAATCCTAGAAAGCTAAAAAGCACAATCCAATTCAAACCATACACAAATCTAATCTACAGGGAAAATACCAAAAATTAAAACTAAAATAAGATAAAGAAGCAATTGAAATTTAAAAGAAAAGCAGAAAAAGCATACAGTGCTGCCACGTGTTCCCGGCCAGGTCCTCGGCTTTCCTCGTCGCTTCTCCCACTTTCCTCCCCCATCTCCCTAAAACATCCCTCACTATATCCATCTTCTCTGTTTCCAATTTTAAAAATAAATAATTAAAATTTTCAAATAAAAGATAATTTTAGAAATAAATGTGTAATGTTTTGCCTTTGAAGGAAGTCGAAGAAGATTCCGGAGCAGGAGCGTGAGCAATGTAAGGATTGGATCCGTTAGGAGCGGACATAGTGGCGCTGTGATCCGCGGCAGACGATTCACTAACCAATTCGGGGTTCCAATGAACCGATTTCCTCGACCCGGATGATGTTCGGCTCGGTGATTGCTCGCTTTGAATCTGAATCTCTTTTGGATTCTGAGTCTCTTTCTCTTCCTTTTTCTCTGGCTCTGCTGTTGGCACCATAACAAAACCGTCCGCATCCATTGCGGGATCCGACTCTTTCGGGCTCGGTTCCTGAGAAGGAGATTGCGTTGAGCTGGACTTTGGCCCAGTTTCCGTCTTCGATTGTGCCATTCTTCTAGAACGTTCGAGGAAAAAAAGGGCGCGCGTGAGGGATTTTTTTGCTGGAAGTTTATCCGGTGGCTGTTATTTGATCATTGTGGCTACTTTATACTTTTCCCTTTCGGTTTACTTGGATTTGTTTGAAATTGAAAGAATCGTATTTGAAAATTTAAATGGTTTTTTTTTTTTTTTTTTTTTTAAAGAAAGATTTTGGAATTTAGGGAAATGGGTTTACCGGCGCGGAAGGGCCGATGATGGCGGTCCAATCTGATGACTTTTTTTAGCGCCAATGAGATGCGAATGGACAAGTTTGACTGCTGGGCTCTTATTATTCTTCGACCTTTAATCCCCATTTTTATTTTTAAATATTCAGAAACAAAATTTTTTTTTTTTTTTTTATCAAAATCATGATTTAGCAGTGAAGGTAATGAAAAGAATAAAAGTTTAAAAGGTTAGGCAAGTCTTTTACTTACTCGATCCTTATAAATGATTTATAAATGCATTAATTACATTGATATAGTGATGTACGGTACTTACTTTTTCGTCATTATAGATTTATAATTTTGTTAAGTTTAAAATATTAAAAAGAATTTTGATTATTTTATTTTTTAAATAAATTTTAAAATTTTTATTGTACTTAAATAATTTATTATTCTTGGATTCGTATCCAAAATAAAATTTTGTTTCAAATAAAAAATTTATTTATGTTAAAATTTATTTAAGTATAAATCAAAGAATAATGATTTATTTAAAAATATATTAAAGTTTCAGGTTAATTAAAGAATTTGTTAAACCTTACATAAATAAATTTATTGACACAAAAAAACCTCTTACTACTAAAAAAATTAGATAAAGAAATTGTAGTAAGAATTATTATAGGGATATCTTTTTGTAAATAAAATTTGAATTAATATAAAAAAGTAATTCATTTTTATTTTATAAATCTTTCTATATTATTTTAAGATTTGAATTGAAAATTTTCAAGTAAAGATTTAAATCTTTAACCATTGAAGTGTATATAATGAAAATGAAATTAACATGCATTCATATGAAAAACTATGACAATGTTGTCATTTAAGTGGACAAATTCCATGAAAAAAAAAATCCAAAATTGATTCCATAATGATAGAAGAAAAAGTATGAAAAGGGGGAAACCCTAGTTCCTGTTTCCTAACAAGAGAGTATCTGGCAACAAAACAACCTTCATATTGAAAGCCAGTTTCATAATTCCTAGAATCTGTTGAATCTTATCAACGAGGCAAAGCATTAATGTCTCCAACCCCTTGGTCATAGCTAACCTGAGAAAAATGGAAAGGAAAGAATAACTTGAGCCACTAATATTCATCTTAGTGCCACATGGATAAGCTTTTATGCTTTATTTGGTTCTACGGGAAAAGAAGTGGAACAAATTAATATGAGAGGCAAAATAAGGTGTAAACAAGTAAAACTAATGGGTTATTCTAGCTTCCATTTGAATTTCATAATATCTTCAATGCAATGGTGGATTCATGATTTTTTTTTTTAAAGATGTTTACTTATAATATATATAAAAAATTGTTGATAGATTTACCAATTTTATGATGTTCAGAAAAAATTTTCTTTCAATTTTTTTTATTTTTATTTTTGGGGTGTTCATAAAAAATTTTTGAAAGTGTCTAATGAAATTTTTTTTTAAATTTTGTTATTTTATAATTTTAGGGATGTCCATGGAATGCATTTAAATAACATCTCATGATTTAATATGAGTTTCCTGCCCTTCAAGTTAGAGAATAGAGGAAAAATTTAGTGGAAGGCAATGGATTTTCTTAGTTTCAAATTAAAATAAAAGATATTTTTTATTATAGTAATTGGTTGTTTTTAGTGGGTACTTACATGTTTTTAATCTTATTATTGTAGTATTCAATATGATATAATCTCATCATTATCATTGTTTTAAATTTCATTAAAACTAATTTCATTATCAATCTAAATAAAATCCTAATCTATTAGCTGATTCAATATGATTAAGTATGATCAAGCTGTGAAAACCTTAGAACATTTGATTAAATAATTGATAAATATATTTTTATTTGAATAAAAATTTAATCATAAGTTTAATTAAAGTCATATTCAATTTTTTTAATATCCAATCCTGGTGACTTACAAGCTTAAATAAGTTTCCAAATTCTAAAATATTTTTAGTGTGATATACTATATTTTATGTATGAACTTATTATTTGAGTTGATAATAATCGAGTTAATTAATATAATGTTGAAGTTATACGTACCTTAAATTTCAAGTATTGTATATAGTTGAACCCAAGTATAAAAAGTCGATTTTGATGAAATTCGAATTGAGTTCAAATTTTTATTTATTTTAATTAAATTAAAATTTAAATTTTCATTACTCATATTAGTTTTATAACACTTTAAGCAAAATCTTTTCTTTTAGTTGGATAAATATATTTAATGAAGAGATAGAAATATAGGAGAGACAAACATAATTATTTTTCGACCTTTCTAAATTATTTTTTGAAGTTTCTATCGAACAAACACAATCATTCTAATTTTAATAATCATAATCAAATGATATAGTTTTAAAAAACATGATGAGTTATTGTTTTCCTCCTTTCACTTGACCAAATATGTAAAACGAATATCAAACTAATCTTCCTTTTTTCTTCATTGAAAAACTAATTTTATCTTCAAATTTTACTCGAATTTAATTTTTTTCAACGATTTTATCATATAAATTTGATGCATTCAAAATCTCAGAAAGCTTCTTTTAAGAATTGAACGGTTGATAAAGGATTTTTCTTATCCTTTTAAAGAAAAAAAAAAAAACAAACAAACAAACTAATCACTTTTCAAACAACAGTGGGCTATTGGGCTATTTACTGTTCTTTTCATCATGTGTTAACGTTCAAAGTCTTGCCTTTCTGGTGTGTGTTCTCACCTCATTTTCCTTAGGAAAGCCCATAATCAAGGAACCAGCCCACATTTTTGGACAAGCTTTGAAAAATGGGTAAGAATCTGTAGTAATACTGTTGCCTGATTCAATTTGCATCTCTTGAAGTATTATTTTAGGGCCCCTTCATAATCATGCCTCTATTTATAGTAAACAACACAGTCTTGAACAACTTTGTACAAAAGATTACACAAGCTGCAATTTTTTAACTTGATTACGATTTTATATGGATTTTCTTTTTATTGAAAGCAACAAGATGTTACACAAAGAAAATAATCACCCAACAAGCAACAGCATAGTAGTAATAGGAATAATAAAAGGTTACAGCTGGAAGATTTCTGTAGACTAATCAAAGCTCAATCCAGAACTTTGGAACTTTTGTTTTGTAATCAGGTCCAATATCTTAGCCATTTTAGGTGTCAAATGATTTACCCAATCTTCAACTTGACCTTTCCTGAAGAAATCAGAATCGTTAACAGGACGTTCCCGATTTCTTGTAACGTTTTTATTGACATCAAGATTGGTCAAATTCTCAACACTACACAATTTCACTATTTCTTATTTTCTTCCTCAGGTGAAAACGGTACCCCTAAGAACTCTGCCAATTTCCTGACACAAAGCGAAGGCTCCTTCACATTTCACATTTCAAGAACAACACCTTCTTTGGTGACTCCAAACTAGCTTTCCAGTAACCCCAAAAAGTGATCCCAAAAGGGTCCACAGAGTGAAACCCCTTTGCAGAACAAGTCAAAGGCTTCTTTTTATGAAAGTGGTGGCTGTTCTTTGCGTCTGAACCTGTTCATGAAATGCCACATTTAAACAAAAACATCTTTGGGGTCACGGCCGATGTAAACGAAACGGCAAGCAGAGGCATCCTGCAGGGACGTCAAGGACTTTGGAAACAAAGAGTAAGGAAGGTGAGTTGAAAATAACCGAGGCGACGGAAGCCCTTCAATGAAGGAAGTGGATCCATTTTTGTGAATGTATCCTTCAAACAAGAGGGCCAAGTTGAGGGTTTGCTGTGACCAGAGGATGGTTGCAGAAGTCATAAGAATTTCTATTGATAGCATGTAATCAAATAACGGCTTAATAGCGGAATAGTGATCGCAAAATTACGGTAACACTCTTACTCGTCATTGTTATTGAAAGAAATGCGGTTGATAAATTCATTCACAGCCAAAACGGTATATAACGGTTGAAAAAAAGATATAACAGGAAATAACGGTAATAATTGATCATTATTGCCATTATTCCTGTTTTCCTACTCATTGATCAACAATTCATGTTATAAAAAAAAACAAAATTTCAACACGGTTAGAATAAAGCAATAAACCTGTAAAAGTAAAAGTAAAAGCAAAAAATAAAACTCAGAACCTCAATTTCTCAATATCAAAATCAATCTAAAAACAAGTTAGAAAATAGGCAAATTATTTATCAACGATTCAAACAGCATTTCAGCAGCAACCTTAGCTCAATCCGTAAATTATCCAAATTCAAATCAGCTTCAAGTTCTCAATCAACAATTAAGATTGAAGAAGGTAAGAAGAGAAAGTTATACCTTTTTTTTTTTTGTAAAATTTTTGTAAAATAATGTCTGTCTTTGTGAGAGTTTGAGAGAGACGAACGAGATATTATGTAGGCACTAAGCAAGTGATAGTGATGAAGGGATGAGAGAGAAAGAGAGAGATGAAAAAAAAAAAAAAAAGAAGAAGTAGATTCTTGAGAGGGCCAAACTCCAAAAGGATGAAGAAGACGAATAAAAGAGAGAGAGCTGGGTTCTTGGGTCTGCTGGGATTAGGCAAAATTGGGGAATATCTAAGGCACTTGGGTAGATGAGGGATTGGGTGGGGTGGGGGTGAGGGGATGAATTTTTTGTTTAATTTTGTAATTAATTTTTAAAATTTTTTTAGACAAAATATAATTAGAGGTTTGAAAATTTTATAATTAAAAAAATTAAAGGATTAGTAATTTAATATAATATATAAAGATTTTAGATGAAAATTTTTGATAAGTTTTTTTTTGTATAAGTTAGATGAAAATTAATTAAAATCAAATATTATATTTTAATTTTATTATATATTAATTTATGATTTTATATTTGAAATTTAATAATTTTTTTGTTGTTTTGGTATTTATATTGTTGTCAATTCTTTTGATATTAGATTAATTCTTATTATTTTTGTGTAATTATTGAAAATTATATTTATTATATAATTATTGAAAATTATTTGTGATAAAAAAATTTATATCAATTGTGTATCAAAAAGATTAAGTTATTTAATAAATTTAGCATTTTATGATCTATTACTCTTAAAATTAAAAACTAAAAATTAAAAATTTAGCTTAAATTCAATTTATAATGATGCAATAAGTAA